TTCTTTTCATTAGTGACTTTTCCACTTCCAGTTTTAAATAAAAGGATTTATGTTATACCTGCTCGAGAACTATTTCAACACTAACATACAGTGATAAACATTAGATTAGTGCATATTTGTTTTGATTAATATATGTTTGTATGGAAAAAAATACCATCTTTCAGCTAAAACACTACCTGGTATGTGGTTTATCTGTTCCACTTAGGCCTAAACCATAGCCTACTGTACTGTACATAACAAATGATTCAAGCCATAGTGTGGTAATACTCATGTGAATGTGTCACATAACTGCTGTTGCAGTATAATTTGTTAATTGTAATCCATCATATTCATAGATATTGATGATGATACACGTGTGATGAGTTATCTTCAATTAATCCAAAGCTGACGGGCATGGCATGTACGTATATTCCATGCCCATTGAGAGTTTATTTTATTGATTGTTTTTACACAAGTACTACCTGTCTCACCTGTTTACCCTTATTATTGTTTGTTATTACAGTGTGTCAGCCAAGGTTTTGTATAGAAGACATATTTCTAGAATTTATCGGGAAAAAAGTTAATAATATGTAATATGTGACTTACTGAAACTAGTAAAAAGCTAGATATTCTTGCTTGATATGCTAGTGTTCCTGGTGAGCACTTTTGTAGAGCTGTTTAATCCCTACTCTTTGCTCTGAACTTCTTTATTTGAACCCATAACTGGCTTACCAACTCAAATATGTGCTTGGTTTATGTGCTAGTCAGTATTACTTTTTGGAATATACATATACATGCTGTTTAAAAAAAACATGGCCACAGTGAAAATGTTATTTTTCGGGTCAAAAATTTGTCAATAGATTGTCAGCTATTTTTTGGATTATAACTAGAAGGGGTTTCACCTCAGCACAATGTATTATTATTGAATGTGTTGAGATAAGCCTATATCAGTTTTTCACTCTTTCTTCCTTTCTTATTGTCTTTTATGATATGGTGATATTTCCTGCAGTCTGTGATGGACATCAACACACAGAATTGTCTAAGCCAGTACTGATACATCAATACTTGAAAATCAGTAAGAGTGATTCTGATACATTGAATCTTTTTAGATAGATAGAGCGATACCAATATCCAGTATATGTATTACTGAGAGATTATTGTAAGAAATGTCCAAACTCATATGTAAATATTTGATTTGCATTTTTGATGCAAACAATGATTGCAACAGAAGCATGTTTTTTAAACTGTATCATGCGTGGATATTTTGATATAATAAAGATTAAAAGGCAGTTATACAAGCAAATGACAGGTTCATTCATGGCACTCATTGCATTTATTAGAGTATCAAATGGCTGTTCATTAATGACTAAGGAGAAGAGGTAATAGTCCCCTTCCTCTTTCACACTTCCTGAGTGCCATTATTGACAGGTTGAATGTGATAGAAAAAGAGAGACAAAAACAGAGAGTGTGTGAGTGTCAGTCAATCATGTAAATGTATTGATGTATCTTTTTTTTTTTTTTTTTTTTTTTTTTGAGAAAACCTCTTAGTGATAATGATAAAACGATACTGTTATTGAGTAGCTAAGGTGATACCAACACCAATAAAAAAGTATTAATCAATGTGTACCACCGATGCATGTATGGCGATATGACCCATCTATACCTATTCAATATTAAATATGGTAGATAGAAAAATACACCATTGTGTGTGATGTGTAGGCCAATTCAAATTCTATAATAATTGTCTATAAATGAACAAGGATTTTCATGACTATTTATAAAAAAGTGGAATTTTTAATGTTTGTGTGTGTGTGTGTGTGTGTGTGTGTGTGTGTGTGTGTGTGTGTGTGTGTGTGTGTGTGTGTGTGTGCATGTTTGTGTGCATGTTTGTGTGTGTGCATGTTTGTGTGTGTGTGTCTGTCTGTCTGTCTGTCTGAGTGTCTGTGTATAAATTACAGCAAAAAGTAAAGCTCTGCAATTCATGGTGCCTGTGGCTCCTTCTCCATTTATACTTAGTTACTTCAGTCGGACTCCACAGCTCTGGATTAAACAGTCTGTTTCAAGACACAAAGAAGATTTTTTAAGTGAAACTTTTGATGAAGATTTTCAGGGCAGAAGCAGTTCTATTTATGCAGCCAGAATTGAAGACATGGGAAATGCTTCATGTTCCACAGACGATCTTTTCTTCAAAACACCAGATGGCTGTAGTGGTGATAGAGGCACATATCTTAAGTACTTCATGCTGGCTGTGAATATAAGAAGAATTTTAATTCTTTAAATTGGGAAAATGCACAAGTTGATGGTTTCATTTGGTAACATGCATATATGAAATATATGTTACATATCAATCAAATGTCATTTATCATTATGATGTACCAGCATGCTTGGGAAGTGCTGATGGCCTCCCCTCCCCCTCTCTTTCTCTCATTTTCTACCTTATTTCTAATATATGTTGGTTAGTTCATGGAGAACTACTTCTATTGAAAGAGAAAAGTGAACCTGAATTGACTGAGACAGATTTCCCCACTTGAGCCGTGTAAGGCATCAGCATGACATGCATATTTTTTTACTTACAGACTGGTGGAAGGCAGGATGGCCACCGCTCTGGCAACATTGACAGGACACAAGGATCGCGTGTGGAGTGTTTCGTGGAACCCAAAGGGCACTATTCTAACCTCGTGTGGTTCAGACCGGTCGATCCGGCTGTGGAACCGAGAGGGGGACACTTGGGTTAGCAAGGAAGTCCTCTCTGAGGCCCACTCACGCACAGTGCGATGCGTATCTTGGTCTCCGTGTGGTAATTATTTTGCTTCAGCCAGTTTCGATGCCACTGTCAACATATGGGACTGTAAGACGGGTGATATTGAGTGCACTGCCACGTTGGAAGGCCATGAGAATGAAGTGAAAAGTGTAGCTTGGTCTGCGTCAGGTTCTCTTCTTGCAACATGCTCAAGGGACAAGTCTGTCTGGGTTTGGGAAGTGGGCGAGGATGATGACTACGAGTGTGTGTCAGTAATGCCTTCACATACGCAGGATGTGAAAAAAGTTGTATTCCATCCCAATGCAGAAATCCTTGCATCTGGATCATATGATAATAGCATTAAACTTTATAGAGAGGAAAGTGATGATTGGGGTGTATTCTGCACACTAAATGGACATGAATCAACAGTATGGAGCCTCGCATTTGATAGCAGTGGCCATCGTCTGGCTTCATGTTCAGATGACCGCACCATTAAGATATGGCAGGAATATTTGCCAGGCAACAGCGAAGGAGTAGCCACCCCAGAAAAGGAACCTGTGTGGAAGTGCGTCTGTACCCTGTCAGGATATCACAAGCGCACTGTCTATGACATGTCCTGGTGCCCACTCACAGGAGCCATTGCAACTTGTAGCGGTGATGACACCATTCGCATATTTAAAGAACAGCCTAATTCAGATAAAAATGCCCCAGTCTTCGATTTGATTTTGACAGTGCCGCAGGCCCATTCAGAGGACGTGAACAGCGTGCAGTGGAATCCTACAGTTCTTGGATTGCTAGCATCATGTAGTGATGATGGATCTGTAAAATTATGGGACTTCAGCAAGATATTTTAAGCTGTATAAGACTTGACAGAAAGTGGGATACTGGCTGGGAGTAGAGCAGATAACACATTACAGGAAAAGAAATTTATCCATTTTTCTTTGCATGCACTATTAAAAGCTGTTTTGAGGACTATTCACTCAAGATCACGGAGGAGTTTTGCTCAGTTTTCGTTGTACTTTTATCCATGCGCACATTAAAATTGGCTTTGTTGCAAGTTTATTATGAATTACCAATTTGTATATGAGCTCATGTTGTACTACAGATGTAAATAAAGGTAAATAGATTATACAGTTGTTTTCCAAACCTGTCACATAGTCGTGTTATTAATATTATGTATTATGTATTATGTCCCAGCTTCTTGCCCAGTTGCAATTGTCACCTGGAGGTTACTGCTGTGGCTGGGCACCACGGCGGGTAAGGACTAAGCTCAGCCGGGTCCGCACCAGCTGACACACATTAGCAGGGCGGCATTAGTCAACACAGGATGGGCTTCCCTCATGGGCATAGCCCGGGCAAGGCTCAGCTTCGCATATCAGACTTTTCCTTCTCTCTCTCTCTCTCCTCTGTCTCTCTCTCTCTCTCTCTGTCTCTCTCTGTCTCTCTCTCTTTGTCTCTCTCTCTCTTTGTCTCTCTCTCTCTTTGTCTCTCTCTCTCTTTGTCTCTCTCTCTCTTTGTCTTTCTCTCTCTTTGTCTCTCTTTCTCTCTCTCTCTCTCTCTCTCTCTCTCTCTCTCTCTCTCTCTCTCTCTCTCTCTCTCTCTCTCTCTCTCTCTCTCTCTCTCTCTCTCTCTCTCAATGCATTTGCCTTTCTCCTCAGTGAGCCTCATTTGTGTAAAACAAGTTGGTCTAAAAGCTTCCTGTCAAACATGCATGATTATGCCATGCCACAAAGACAGAATTTAGCTGCCTGAGGATGGGAGAGGCCGTATATGGATTTTTACTAAGCCATACCTCCCCTTTATCAAGCAGTTTCTATATTTTATTCTTTGTTCATGCAGAAAGTGTTAAATTCTCATATTTTTTTGTTTTTAAGTAGCTACTTTGATTCATGACTGTCATACACAGACATGTTCTTAAAAGATTGATATCTGTTTGCAATCAGTTTATATTCAGCAACATGGATGAGTCAAATTGTTATAACTGTTATTATCATTGCTGTGTGTGATACCTAATTTTTTTTGTTTATTTCATTCCTTTATATTTAGTTCAATCTGCTGCACTTGCCAGATTCACATACTCATATCAGTGGAGTTTGTTACAGTAGCATGACAAAGGATTATATTATTTATCTATGTCTTATACATAATTACAGTCATAAGACTCATATACATAGGTACAGCACAAACCATGTGCAGTATATTCTTGAAGCAAGACAAATCTGTACAGCTGCTGAGCACCCACCTGGCAGGTTAGCCTAAGGGTTTTCTGGCAAAGAATAATGACCACATTATTATGAAGGTATCCTCTGGCTCACCACCTATTCCTTATTCCTGGTTTTTACTTTGGAAATGAGTTAACACCTCTGAGTGACATAAACAGAAGTTACACATTTCATGTACAGTCAGCATTAGTCTTTGTACTTGTACCCCCCCCCCCCTCCCCACTCCATTGCTTCTTGTTGCCAGGGGGGTGGGGGCTTAGGAGGGAGGACGGGCCCGATGTAGGGATCACCCCCAGCCTTGGAACTCAGCCCTCGCATGTTCTTTCCTTCTCCCTCTTTCCTTTTTCTTTCTCTTCTTCATCCCCTTCTGTCCGTTATCCAAATTGTGAACTCATATTTACCCTTTTTGCCGCAATACTTTACCATAATGCTGTGTAACCTATGATGCTAGGTACATTTGTTTATTTTGACCATTGACTATTATGGAAGTCCACAAACATTGCCTTACTGAATAAAGAAATAAGAAATACAAAAAAACAAGCCCCGCCCTATCTGCATGTTTTGTGTATGCCGCTAATGACCTTAGATGTTGACTCGGCAGAAAATTTTCAATGAATAAATTAATTTGTACTCGTATCAATTAAGGCACCCCAATGAAGTCTGAACTCTGGAGACTTGTCTGTCACCCTCCTTTTAACTGATTGCTCTTTTGTGTGCTGATGCAATTAACAACTGCAAAGAGGCCACACTTGCCATGCACACGCAGAATCATAATTAGTGTCTCTCTCTCTCTCTTTCACACACACACATGCATAAACACACGTACGCACACACACACACACACACACACACACACACACACACACACACACACACACACACACACTCTCTCTCTCTCTTTCTCTCCCACTCTCCCTCTCTCTCGCTCTCTCTCTCGCTCGCTCTCTCTCCCTCTCTCTCTCTCCCCTTCTCTGTCTCCCCTTCTCTCTTCCCCTCTCTCTCTCCTTCCCTCCCTCTCCTCCTTCACCTTTTCTTACAAGTTCATTTCCTTGCTGGTGACTGCACACCTTGTTAGTTATGTGTATTCTTTATACAAACATTGCAGATGATCATGTACGGTGTTTGAGATAAATACTTTACAAGGAGATTGCTTTTTACATCTCACTTTTCCCCACATACTGAGGCCATGTCACAGAGTGGTTAGCCATTCCTAGCCTTCATTTCTTTCTTTTCTGTTTACATGCTAGTGGAAGGAAATGAAATAGGTTTTTGATGTATTGCTTTTTTGAGAAGTAGGCCTCGTAGGTGTATTGAATTTAAATTTGGCTATTAATCAGACTGTTGATAGGTTGTTTTTTATTTCCAGAGAGGTCAAGTACCACTCCATGATCAAGAATACTTTCAGTTTACTTAGCTATTTTAGCAAACACATTCAAGTAAGATCATACAGGTGAGTGGCATTTTAATACAGTTTCAACAGTGCAACATTGCTAAGGAATTAATTGGTTGTTCTGAGTAAGCATTATGTTATAATATAGTTATAATTCTCTTTTTTTCTGGAAGACCTGTAATTTTGATGTATGTATTGTATTATTTTCAGTCATGCATTTGGTCATTATCAGTCTATAAAAAGAAACTTTCTTGGAAGAGGAACTTGCAGTACTGAGATAGTTTATCAGAAAAGATAAAATTCGGAATGCACTATTCCGTGCTGATTAGTAGTTCTTATTTATAGGTAATCTTGCATCCTCAGCATGAAGATCAACGAAGTGGTAAGCTGTCTGAACGACTTAGCACCCACATCACTTGCAGAGTCTTGGGACAATGTGGGGCTGCTGGTGGAACCGTATACCAAGAGGTAATTAATTACTTCAGTGCATTCAGTGAATTTATGTAGTAGAATCATCTCATGATTAGATGCAACTGTGCTACTGTAGTATTTTGTTTTCCATTTTAAAGAAAAAAGATGTTTGACAACTGTTTAGAGCCAAGTGAAATGAAATGGATATAATTCTTTAAAACATGAGTATACCAAGATATACTGAGATTGTGCTCCTGAAAGGTCATTAAAATGTAAGCAATAGTGACTTTCACTAAGCTTTGGTCTGTTCACTTAAGTCTAATAGCTGGAAGGACAGAAAGCTTGGCTGTGATTGGTAGATGCAAGACAGTCATGTGTGAAGTGTGAAAACATGAATGACAGTCAATAGTGCAAAAATCATCTTATGACCCAGCTTCAGTTCAACCAGTGGCAGCTTTAGATGACACTAACAACAACAATGACGATAATGCTGATAATGGTAATGGTAATCATGATAATGAAAATGGTGAGACTAATGATAATGATAACAATAATGATAACAAAAATGATAATGATGATAATGATTATAATAGTAATGGCAGTGACAATAATAATAAGCATGATAATAATGACAATATTATAACGATAATAATGATAATGATAATGCTTAGATTTTCTCTAAAACTGTAAATTTACAATGCTTCTCAGAGTTGCCCTGTCCAATGAACAGCCTCATTTCAAAAGTTTCTAGGCTCCAGTTATCAGAGTCAGGTGAACAGATTATAATAGGCATCACTGCTAAGAGGAGAACCAGCCCATGCAATTCATCATATGACTGAGCTACATCATTCTTAACTAAGATGATTGAATCCCAGTTTGGAATCACATAGATACTAGAGTAACAGATCTTCAAATGATCTTAGTAACAAGGAAATGATCATTTATCATGTATATTATCTCTCTAATAGTTCGTATAGAGGGAAGATCTTGGTAATCAAGTAATTGTAGCATTAACCAGCAAAAATAAACTGAGATAGATATAAGCAATTTGAGGCAGTGGCAGAACAGCTAGTCAAGTATTACCGTTGCAAACCACTCAGGTCCTTAAACCAGTAAGACTGCAGGACCAGTGAATGCCAAACTATGAGGTTAAAAATATATGCATTGCAAGTATACAGATAGTCCCCTACTTAAGAACATTCTACTTATAAACATTCCATACATACAAACAAATTTTTTAAAGTCCTAAAATCCAAAAAATTGTTTGAAAGATGCTAGCAAACTTCAAATTTCCCAGGCACGAATATAGTTCAAGAGTCTGGTACTGTATAAGGTATGTCGTACTTATTGGGATTTATTTACAGGTATTCTTAATGTAAACAAAACTTTAAAACAATGGGAAAAAAGGTAATGGAGACCCGACTTTCGACATACAAACAAATCAACTCACAAACAGCCTCTCGGTCCCCATTATGTTCTTAAGTTGGGGACTTACTGTACCAATAAAGGAAATTTTAGAAGGGTAATAATAGAAGAACAGAGTTTAACTTTAGATACTGTAATATAGTTATAGTTATTAGCATTTATCCATTCATTTCTGCTCAAGTAAGTAGTAATGTTTTTGTCACTTTGCCTTGATTAGGTGTTGAAGTTTGAAATCTTTCATGACTTCATATTTTCTTATTCCTAGCCATCATGGCACCCAGTAGCACTTGAATCTATTCATGTTCAGTTATGTACCTGTTGTGACACTCCAAAAATGTATACTTTGTAGTATTTTCCTTCTTTTGTAATTGTAGTTATTACATGCATACACACATTCTGAAATTAATTCAAACAAAGTGTCAGTATCATTAAAATATTTTGATTCACACTCTAGGGACATTAAGAAGATGCTGCTCACAAACGACCTTACGGAAGCAGTAATGGACGAAGTGGAGAAGCTTGACGTAAACTTCATCCTGTCGTATCATCCTCCGTTGTTTAGGCCTATCAAGAGAATCACCTGCAAAGCTTGGAAGGTGATTGTAGTTGTAATGAAATTTACAATTAGGATGATATTAAGCTTGTTGAGCCTGGGAGGGAATGTATCCAAGTACTGCCCAGTTTAGCTTTGTTTTGTTGAATTTTGTTTACATATGGTGTTGAATCAGTCGCAAAAAAAAATGTTTTCTTGTTTTTTTATTTATTGTAGACTTGGTTATAAACTGTCATGGCATGACTTATTGAAGAAATTAAGAGGTAAAGTAGAATGTTATATAAGCTTACAACCTGAGCTGTAGATTTGGCTCTGGGTTAAAATGGAAGGAAATTGTAGTCGTTTATTTCCTTGTATTGTTTAAAAAGTTTTGGTTATTTATAGTAAAGTCATAGAGAAAATCACAACTCCCTATATCCTTTTTACAGGAACGCATTGCCGCAAGGTGCCTGGAGAAGGGCATAGCCGTATATTCACCTCACACCTCCTACGACGCTCTAAAGGGAGGTGTGAATGACTGGCTGATTGAAGCCTTTGGTAAGTATTGAGATGGAGGAGCATTCTTTTACTCTTCTTTGATTATTTAGATAATGTTTGTTTTCTCTGCATTTTACTTTCAAGACATGTTCATTTATAAAAAAAAAAAAAAAAAAAAAAAAAAAAAAAAAAAAAAAAAAAAAAAAAAAAAAGATTACTACAAAGTGATTTTAAAATTATTTTTCTTTGTTTTCTATTCTCTGTTTCCTTTACTTTTACTCTCCAAATGCAATAGCATTTTTTTAAATTAGTTATAAGCAGAAGAAAAATTTATCTCTCATTTCTCAAGCACTAAGCTGTATTCTTAGAATTTTAATTTTTAATGACCCAGATTTCAGTCTTTTTACATTTCTCAGCTTCATAAACCTCTACTCCTCTTAGATCACTTGTACTTATTATTTGCTCTGTTCATAGCACATCATAACTCCCAAAGAACACCATTCTTCTTTGTTCTCCTCACTCCCAGCTGCAACTGTGTCCCTTTGTAGCCAGGTATATGTACAGTTTGCCATGGGTATTGTTGTACACAGGTGGCCCTACAAGTGTTCAGCCACCAAGGAGTCGATTAGTTGTTCAACATGACCACACTTTATTTCCCCATACTATGAATTTTATTTTGATATTTTTTTAATGGCATCTCATGAGCTTTACCATGTGCCAGATTATCGTCCAGGTGTGGAGCAGTGAACACTAATGCAGCCCAGCCACACCAAACTTTACTAGACATTTTACCTGCTATATTT